GGAAGATCGGGAGTGGCTCCTTTGGGGACATCTACTTGGGTAAGGAGGGTGGCTTGCTGGGGATGTATCTGGCAGGTCTGTGCAGAACGTCAGGGATCGAGTCGGGATGGGTGCTGGTCGCTGCGGTGCCCGCTCCCAGCCCCCGGCGAGGCTGAGCTGGGGGCAACCCCCGGGGCCTCATTTCACCCCGGATGGAGCTCGGGCTGCGCTACTAACCAAAAAATGCCCTTTGATGTGAAGTAGTTTTCGAATTGTGCAACAGTAATAGTTTAATATTTCCTTGACATCATGTCCTAATTTGGATAGGAAATCGAGAATTCCAGCTTACTTAGCCGCCCCTTCGCATTGTTGTCTTGTGACCTTGGGTGTTGTTAATCTTCTCATCTGTAAAATCGGGATAGGGGTATAAATCCCTTCATTTGGAAAACAAACAAACAAGCAAACCAAACAACCCAACACAAAGCAAAACCCCAAACCCACCATGTTCAGAAAAATGTTTTGGAAAAGAAATGTGCATTGGTGTTAAGCATCACTGCAGCGGACTAGGAAGAATTGCTGCCACAGGAATGTTCGTCTCTCCTGTGAGGCCTAACAAAAAACCAAACCAAAGCAAAAAATAACACAAGTGCAGATGATGAGGTTGCAGTTAAAGAAACCTTCAAATCCTTCCAAGAATCATCAGTTTGTTTATCGTGCTGCTTGAATGTTGCCCTAATGCCTTATTGCAAGTATCTTGTTCTGCTACTGTGATTTCTATGCAATTTTAAAATATGCAGGATTGGCATTGTCTTTGCCTGACCGTTTGTGTAGCTCTATCATAATGGCTCGCTGCTTGTGATAATGACAAGCAGTGGTGGGTACCAGGAGTTTTGAAAGCAAATATTTATAAAATAATATATTCTTCAAACTGTTAAACCACAATAAATGGGTTAAATCCACAGAAATATGCATTTTAATCCCTGTACATAGGAACCAGTACTCTGCTTTTGAAAACTGTGGCAACTTTAAAAAGCAAGTCAGAAAGGTGGGGAAGGAACTTGCAGGGGCTAAGGTATGTTAACTGCACACATCTGGAGGGTAAAAACATGTCTTTAGCTAACATGTGGTATGTTTGGCAGTATGAGAGGTGTTTTTGTTTCCTAGACAGCAGTGCTTCATGTTGCAGTGCACAGCTCACATTCCAGACTAATTTGATAGCTGAAGGTGCTTGTCTGCAGATAATGAAATACTGGTTATCTGTAATACAGAGAACATGAATCTTTTCCTCTGCAATGCTTGCATAAAACATTGAAGACTGTTGTGAGAAATATGGTGGTAATACTTGTGCAAAAATCCTTATTAGCTCTCACTGGTATTTTGAATAGAGATTAAGACAGCAGTTAGAATTTGAAAAATCTTAAAATGATTTGAGAAACTCCCTCTAGTATTTGAATACTGCTCAGGTAAGTCGGGTTACATTAGAGTATAAATTTGAAGTGCAAGTAAAATTTTTTTTTTTTTGGTCGCTTTATGCTTACAGCCCACACCAGTAGACTTGCACAGGAATTAATAGTTCTCTGTACATTAGTACTATTGCCATGCTGCATTTTGCACTGGAATTCATCATCCTCAGTTTTTGTCCTCTTCTTTTTATCTCAGAGTAGCTGGTGTGGATTTACATTTAGGGCTTGATGCAGATGTCTTTCCTGAGTCAGAAGCTAGCAGAGAATTACATGCTTTGAAGATCCAGCTATTGGTATGGGTTTCTTTTTCCAGGGGAAATGACTGTGTCTCAGGAACTGAAGTCTTGAAGAGGCCATTTGGTTTGCCTACCATTATCTTGTAAAACAGAGGTGTTTGAAATCTGTGCTTTTTGTGATAATGAAATGTAGGGATTTTTTAAAATTAAGTTTTTGTTTTGTTTAGATTACGGTAGGACGTAAGTGCTTTAAAATAATGTATAAAATTCTTTTGGATAAGTACACGTCTTCTGATAGGCCTTAGTGTTTTTACAGATTACATCAGTGTAGATCTCTACCTTGGCTTTATGCTTTGAAAAGGAAGAATTGATTATTTTTGCCTGTTTCTGGTCCCCCTGTATGTTTGTCTATTTTAATGCAGCTACAAGGGTGTGGAAGACATTCCAGAGTAGAGGGGACAGACTTTTCCCTTTTCCCTTTTTTCCCCCTCTATCCTATGGAGCCAGTGACTGTTGTTATCACAGTTTTTTTCATATTCTTTTATATTCTCCCTTAAACCTCAAAATGCGTCTTCTGGAATTCGGAATGGCCCCAGCTTTGCTTGCTTAGAATGGCAGGGACTGTGGGACAGGAGTTTGAAATGTAAGGCACTATTGTAAATAAAGGAGCGCCTGGACAACTCAAAATAAAATTTAGGAATTTAGTGTACGTGCATCTTCTGAAGTTACCCTGCAGAGGAAGATATGAAAGAAATGGATTCCCAGATATTCTAAATAGTATGATGAAAAAGGGGCAATGGGATCAGAGTAAGCATTTGTTGATAAGTCTCTGAGGTCAAATAGATATGGGTCACAAAGGACATTGCAGTTGCTGTGTTTTCATGAATTTTGTATTACGTGTATATTTTTTTTAAGAATTAGTTTTGGGTTGTAAACTCATTAAAATGATTTCCAAGGCTTTCCTTATGGTAGAGGATTTTGCAATTCCAAGTAAATTGGAATTTTGCAGTTTAAAAGAAAATACTTTCATAACTCTGTACTTCCTTTTACATTTACAAACGGTGGCCTCTCATTATACTCCTTGTTACTACTTTTTAATTATTGGTCATTCTTGCAGTAATCCTTCTTGCTACTTCTCAAATACTGTTTTCTTTAAAGGAAGCTAAGCTTTTGATGGTTACAGAGTTACTTCAGAAATTTTGTCCCAGGGTTTAAGTGGGGACAGAAGTCCTTACTTGGTGGCAAGTAATGGATTGTGTTGCTTGGAAAAAATATTTGTATTTTTGTCTCCCTCTCATCAGTTTTTCTGGACTCAAATATTTTAATTTAATTATTTTAATACAACATCTCTCATCTTGAAGGAGAGGATTTATACAGAAGTGGAGTTCAAGCTGAGGGTTCTTGTCTGTCTTGGGTGATAAAGACTTGGGAAGAGGAACTATCCTAAGAAATTACCTACTAGGTCAAGACCATGGTCTGTCATGTAACAGTTTAATACTATGTTGAGCAGAACTGGATACCAGTACAGGTGTACAGATACAGACTTGATACAGGTCTTGATCCTCCCGTGCAGTTTTTGCCCTAATTAAACACAGAAGTCTGCAGCTGTCTATAAAGAAATGTGTCTTTTAGTATACTCTGGCAGCAATTTGTGTTGGTTTTGGATCAGAAAAGTTTTTAAAAACAGCGAACTAAACCCCCCAAAAGACCATGTTTTTTGAGGCTCACCCATCAGATAATATTGTCTTTCATTCATACTTTCCCTGATCTTGTCTGCTGTGGGATTTGGGAGAACAGGTACTGAATGTAGGGATAAGCAAGAAAGGTCCAGAGTTTTGGGATTCAGAATAAAGATTTTTATTTGTTTGGGGTGGTGAAGTCAGTATTAGATTAGAAGATAAATGCCTTCCCCCTTGTATTGTTGATCTGCCCTTTCACATTTCTGGATTGATGTGCACCATAGCTCATTTAAAGTTCATCAAAATAATATATTTATAAAATGCGAAAACCTTATATTATATATTGAAGCATTTCCAGTTGCTGCTACTGTGCTTTGACCAAAGTAGCAGTTGGGGATCCTGCCAACTATTATGCCAGTTACAAAGGAGTCATATGAGACAGACATATTTATGTACTGCCTTATTTTTCTTACTCCAGATGTGTTCACCTTGAGTTGTGTTTATTGTACCTGGAGTGAGTTTCATTTGTTTTTTTTTCTTAAGATGCCTCGAGAAATGTCTAACAGATATTGACCTTGGGGTTCTGAGAACAGCTCAACTGTACCAGCAACACCACCTTCGTACTCGTGTGTGTGCACACGCAAAAAGACATTTTATTTACTTTAAGAAAGTGCAGTCTTGTGTGAACTCAGTAGATAATTCTGTGCACCATCAGTTCCTTGCAAAGTGAAGAGTCATGCCCATTTTGAGGTGTGGGCTGTTAGCCTGTCTTTGTTAGCCTGACAAAGGCTATAAAGCACTGAAGTAGCTCCTTAATCTCAGGAACAAAATTTTGCAGTTATAATAGTTAGGTGTCCTGGTTTCAGCTCGTGAATATGTTAGTTCAGTACTCTGTAATGGTCAAAGAAAAGCATATGGAGAAAAAACAGGTAAGCAGGCAGAAAAAATTGTGTATCTCTGTCTTAATTGCTTTTTGTGACGCTCAAAAAGAACATTATGGAACTGGAAAAGGTATGGATAAGTGAAATGGGGGATGGGGTAATTAAAACTTACTTCTATACAAAGAATGACCAGAGTTTTTCAACTCTGACAAGAGTTAGGGGAAAGTGAGGTAGGGTAAGAGTCTCTGAAACCCTCAACATTGTGGATAAAGTGAGTACAAAATGATTGTTTGCTGTTTCTTTCCAAACAAAAACTAGTAGACCTCAAGCTTCTAAGAGTGGGGATCAGAAAAAATAGCAGGTTTGTTGTATTTCATATCATCCTAAACTATGAGGTAGTGCAGAAAAGAGAAAGCCAAATCCTGAAAGTAGTGAGACTTGGCAATATGTGTCTTGCATCTCCTTTTACCAACTCCTGTCTTCCTATTGTTCCTAAGTTGCTTGGCTGTGAGAGTATGTATTTTCTTGACTCAGTGTTTCTCAAGAATGACAGTTTTTTCTACAAACACTTAAAAAAGTTAACAGGTAAGCCAATTTTTCAGTCACTTGATTCCTTAAACAAGAGTTTAATGAGACGCAAAAAAGTTGTGTTTTTTTTTTTGAGAGGACACATTATTGATTCTAGATAACCTGCTTCCCAGGGTAAAATCATAAGGTTCAGAATGCATCTGAGGTATGTTGAGATTTAGGGAAGTTGTAGTCTCTGTTTCCAAGATGTAAGAGGAGGTGATCTGAATTCCTAGCATTCCTTAGGTTGGCAGGGTTACATGCCACACCTGCAAACATTAATTCTGAGCACTTCCACTAGCAAACTAGAAGTGGAAAGACACCCCTCAAAAGATGCACTCGTTTGTTGGTTTGGTTATGGTTTGTGTTTTGGGTTTTTTTTTTTGTGGGTTTGTTTTTTTGTGGGTTTTTTTTTTCTTTTTATATTATTATTATTTTGTTGTTGTTTTGTGGGGTTTTGTTTGGTTTTGCTTGTTTGGTTTTCGGGTTTGGGTTTGTTTGTTTGTTTTTTTTGTTTTCCTGTTGTGTTTTTTGGTTTGGTTTTTTTTTGTGTGTTTTTTGTGTGTGGGGTTTTTTTTGTTTGTTTTTTTGATGGTATAGAAGCAGTTTTGGCTTCTGTGCTACAGTGTCTAATAGTTGTCTCTTCAGGTGCTAATCTGTTGGAGAGAATTTGTAAGACTTCAGAAGAGTTTTTAGATAATCATGGTTGAAAGTACTTAATCTCAGGATGTTTGCCGTTGAGTAGTAGTTTGCCAATAGTTGTTTTGTTTCAGTTTTGACTAAGGAAATTAATCTTAAAAATATTTTGACTAATGTTTTAAATTCTTCTGGTTTTAGGAACTGATATTGCTGCTGGGGAGGAGGTTGCCATTAAGTTGGAATGTGTGAAAACTAAACATCCTCAGCTTCACATCGAGAGTAAAATCTACAAAATGATGCAGGGTGGAGGCAAGCAATTTATTTTCCTTCTTCAGAGATTTAACTGATTTTAAGCCTTTGATTTATATGCCACCTGGAAGTATTTAATAGTTAACATCTCTTTTAATGTATAAGGAGAAGGTAGGATAGGTTGCAGGGTGCATGAAGCAGTACCTCAGCTATTTTGCAAGCAACATAGGGTAGCAGTTCCAAATCCATGGCTGTCGAATTTTATGATAACTATTAAAATCCTTCAGTGTTGTTCATGGTCCCCGAATATTTTAAAACATGAAAACCTGGAGCAATGTGGAACATAGTTTGGTCCTGTTTGGCAGTACACTGGTTGTCTTTTGTTTCTCACGGGTCAGTAAAAGATAGTAACAACCGTTCTGGAGTGTTTAACCTGACTTGCTTATTATAGCAGCTCAATGATAAGCTTAGTAAGTTTGGGTTAATTTTTTTTATATATGTTAGCATTCTTCCTTCTGAGTTAAAAATATTTCCTTGCTATGGGAATTGTAAGACAAAATGGCATTAGGAGTACAGAACAGGAGTGAGGCAACTTTATAACTACTGCATGGTACTCCTCTAGGATAAGTGACTGGTATATTTTAAAGTTCTGCAAATGTGTGTCCTGTGCAGTTCTGGGATATAAACTTGGTGTAATTAAGTTTTGCTTTTGTTTTGTAGTCACTTGAATTCTTCCTAAATGAGGCCATATTTTGCATAAAGACTACATTCCACACTGTATCACAAATGCATAGTATAGTAATCATACATGTAGAAATGGATGATAATATGTGTTTGCATTTAGTTACTTTTTAATTCCCGCTTCATTCATTTGCCACCTGCTTGTAACCCGAATAGACTTCACGGAGTAAAATGCTTCCTTTATGGGCTTACTAAGGCCATTATGGTGGGTTCTTTCTTGAGGATGGATACTGCGGAGACATGTAGCAGAAGGTTAAGTTTCCATCTGAATAAGGATTTCTCTGTGAAGGGAATTTGGGGAAAAAACAATTCATATCAAGTAAACAGAGTTTAATATGGATGAATTGTACCATTTCACTTCCAAAATACGTAAAATCAATTCAGAGTGAGTGGATTTAGAATTCTGAATAAGGGTACCTACATGCAGGCTTAATTCAAAATATTTGAGCAATTCTGCAGTTTTGTGTGAAATAACTTCCCATAAAGCAGGGCTAATTTTACCCTTCTCAAGCTGAATGTATAACACATCTCTAATAATGCTACTTTGGTAGAGATTCTCCAAACAGCAAATACAGTGGAACTGGAGGAAAGTCAAGGAGTATGGAACAAAGGTGAAAATTCATTGCAAATTGAAATGGAAGAGAAAGATATTTTACGGTGATCTTGTGGGCTTTGAAACTAAACAGCTAATTTCTAAGGCCTTCTTCAATGAAAATATTTAGTGTTTTGTCAGTGTCTTTGTTTTCAGATTTCTAATTTGCTCTTTATTGCCATCTTGGAGACTACCTGAATAGTAGTAATACACGTAAAATGCTTATGGTTCAAATCCAGAGAAAATGCAAAGTTCTTTCAATTTACAAGCTATGCACAAAGACTGGGGGCATTCCGGGGAAGAGGAAAAAGGCTAATTTTAGACCTCTGTTGCTATAATTTTTTACTGGGTTTGCTGTGAAATTATTAAACCACTCATTTTGGAATGGCTGAAGGTAGCATAGAATGTTAAGCCTCACTGTAAATACAAACATTCACAGCAATGACCCTCCTAGAATTCATCTTAAGAGCCTTGAAGATTTGTGTGCATGAACTGTGTAAGTCAAATTGTTATACAGTTTCCTTTTTTCTAGTGGGTATTCCCACAATTAAGTGGTGTGGAGCTGAAGGGGACTACAATGTAATGGTGATGGAGCTGTTGGGACCGAGTCTTGAAGATCTCTTCAATTTTTGTTCAAGAAAATTTAGTCTCAAGACAGTTCTATTACTTGCTGACCAAATGGTAGGAAACTGCTTTGTTGATCTTGGTAGTGCAGTGTGGTGTGGTGGGATATTAAAACTTCTTGAGATCACAACCAACTATGTTTTATTTCTGTAATTTAGACATGAATAGGCTGTATCATTAGAGAAAAGACTCAAAATCAGTTTTTTTTCTGTAAATATAAAGTGCCCCATCAAAAGTGATTATAAAGTCTTAATTGATTTTTAAAAAATGACCTGCACTGTTTGCAAACCAGGTGTTTCATTCCTCAATCACAAATTCCCCCCAGAAAATTTTTGGAAACAAATGTGAAACAGACACAGCAAGAAAGCTGGAGAGAAGGCTTATCTGTTGTCTTCTAAATTATGTTCTCCTTAATGCCCTTACATTTTACAGTAGAAAGTTTCTTTACCTCTTTTATCATTAAGACAGTGTTTCTAGTGTTTTTATAAGAAAAAAAGTGTATGCCCGGTCTCTTGATAATGATTTTTTCTTCCCCCCTCCCCCCCCCGCTCCTATTTAGATTAGTCGAATTGAATATATTCACTCTAAGAACTTTATCCACCGGGATGTGAAGCCAGATAACTTCTTAATGGGCCTGGGGAAGAAAGGCAATCTTGTCTACATAATAGACTTTGGACTAGCAAAGAAGTATCGAGATGCTCGAACTCACCAACATATTCCATATCGTGAAAATAAAAACTTAACAGGAACTGCCCGTTATGCATCCATCAACACTCATCTTGGAATTGGTGAGCTGGGGAAAGCAATAAATAGAAACTTTAGAAGTGTCAATGCACATAATTTTACTGCAAGTAGAAGTTGCTTTATGGAGGCATGGAAGAAAGTCCCTATTTCTGGCACTAGCAGTGCAGCATGCTTGGCCTTGTATCCCTTGATTGGGTGGGATTTGTTCAGTTTATAATCTTCAGGAATTCACACATTTTTTTAATAACTGTGAGGGTGACAGGCTTTTTCTTGTACTGGATGAGTTTATCACGGGCATAGTTTTTTCTAAGAGTTTTTGTGACAGTCATGTTGCACAGTCTTGCATTTCCAGTAGAAAATGAAACCTAATGAGTCCACTTTTTTATGCTGTTGTAGAGCAATCTCGCAGAGATGACTTGGAGTCCTTGGGCTATGTACTGATGTATTTTAACCTGGGCTCCCTCCCCTGGCAGGGACTGAAAGCAGCAACAAAGAGGCAGAAATACGAACGTATCAGTGAAAAGAAAATGTCTACACCCATTGAGGTTTTGTGTAAAGGATATCCTTGTAAGTTACTCTTTTGTGGCACTAGGCCTACATGTTCATGTTTTAGCAGTATTTCTTCTTTCTTTATACTGAATTCTACCAGTCTTTTTTTTTACTTCTCTCTCTTCCCCTCCCCCCACCGCTTCTTCTTCCCCTGCCCCCACAATTTGGCGCTTCTGTGATAAAGACACTGTTTTTGAGACCTTGATCTTTGTGTTTGTGTACCATTTCTAATTATCCATTGTCCAAATGATTAGTAAACAATCATTGTAGTGCCCTCAAGTGGGAGGGTACTTGATGCGTCTGAGTTGCGCTGTGTTGTATGCATGTGTCTGTGCTGACTAAGTAACTCTGACAAATAACTTTGGGAAACTACCAATTGCTTCATATGCAAGGGTACTGTTTCTTGGATGAATCGGATTCTGTAGTCAGATGCACCTCTTACTTATTTCAGATGTTGCACTTGGGAAGGTTCATCCAGGTTGGCCTGTTGATGGTCAGCATCTGAGAGAGACCTAAGAAACCCTCCTATATCCTAGCATTCTGACTAAAAGCTGTTCTGTTTCTCAGTTTGGTAATAATTAGGCGTTTTTGAGCCCTGCAGAATGATACTTGAATCTGTTTTAAAACTTGGTAACATTAGCTGCCATCAGAGAATATTGTTCATCTTTCCTGAGAGTTCCATCTCTCTTTTTTCCACACTCTTGGCTTTGGCAGCTAGGTACAATAACAAGAACTATGAGCTTTATTAGGGTTATATGAAAGCTTACTGTCTTCAGTCTGTTTCAAATGTTGCTTCATACGTGTTCCCTTACATTCATTAACTATGTTTTTTCACTGAAGTTAACAAGCAAGGCAGACTCATCAACTTTTCTTGGTTGGTTTATTAGAATTTACTTGTTAACATAAATTGTTAATATATTATTTCAGCTGAAAGACTTGAACTCAAAAGCCGGTATTTTGATACTGCTGTTATCTCTGGTGCATCGAATTGACAATGTTTTTGCTGTGTAACTAATATTTCATGTGCCGTATAAAAACAGGTGTTGCAAATATAAAATTGTAGCATGACACATATGGGAAATTTATACGAGTCCCCTAGTTTCTATGTGTTTTGTGAGGTAGTAGATATGAATGTTCATGTGATTTAATAACAGAGATGCTCTTCCATGTCCCACAATAAACGCCATTTAAATATATTTAAAGAAAGGGAAAAAAACCTTTTTGCTCAGCTGTAGTTTTAAACCTGTCTGTCTCCCCTTCCCCCCCGCCAACTGTCAGTTAAAGAACTCTGATATTGGGTCGTCTCTGCTGTCCTCTGACATCTTTGCCTGCTCTGTGATAGACAAATAATTTCCTTTTCAGGTTGATTTAATAGATGGGCTATAGTGTTGCCTTTAAAAGATGTCTAGTCTTAGGTCATTATTATTTTTATGTTTAGGAGATTACCTATTTGCTGGGTTTGGGGTGGGTTTTTTTGGTTTTGTGATTCAGAATTCTAAAAAGCAAATGTGGAGCTGAAGGACAAACGAGAGGCTTTCTTTTATTACAGCTGAATTTGCCACGTACTTGAATTTCTGCCGTTCTTTGCGTTTTGATGACAAACCGGACTATTCCTATCTAAGGCAATTATTCAGAAACCTCTTCCACCGACAAGGGTTCTCCTATGACTATGTGTTTGACTGGAACATGCTGAAATTCGTGAGTAGCTAACATAACTTTCTAGATTTTTTTTTTTTGTAATTTTTTTTTCCCTACACTGTCAGTTTTGACTGTCTTAACTGATACTGTAAGATTGTCTTGCCTTTTTCCTCCCAGAAGCTCTATTGTCTAGGAAAAAGATCAGGAAGTTAGGAAAGGCGGGAGATACAAGAGCCATGAGGTGGGGGTTGAATGACAACTAAGTTGGAGTTACAGGCCTTTAAATGTGTAAGGCTTCTGAGGTACTTCCTTCGGGGCGGTCACCAGGCCAGGTCACAGAATTACTATTTTCTCTCCCCTTGATCTTGAGCATGGGTCGTTTGCAACTGTTGAGGAAGTGTCCAGCTGCCATAAGACACTGTAAGTATGTGTGTACATTAGCATTTTGAAGACTATCTCAGAAGATGTATGAACAAAATTTAGAATTTATGGCAAGTCTCCAAAATAATTAATGGCCTAACTTAATAAGCTTAAATTCATGAGTTGTGCAGTTCTTTATTTTCAGTACTTTTGTCTAAATATATAGTTGTGAGTTGAGTAATCCCCCAAGTTGTTCACTGTTGTCAACCCGTAGGGTGCAAGCAGAGCAACTGAAGATTCTGAACGTGAAAGGCGAGAACGAGAGGAAAGATTGAGACATACACGAAATCCAGCTGTGCGCGGAATACCCTCCACTGCTTCTGGCAGGCTGAGAGGAGCACAAGATGTAGCTCCTCCTACTCCTCTTACCCCAACTTCACATGCTGGTAAGTAAGCAAATACCCGGATAGATGCATCTTATAGACAACTGTAATTTGCTGTTTGTTCCTGGTTATTGGAAATTCAAAACTAGAATTAGGATACCTGAGTGGTATTTGTGTCTGGTCAAGGTTTGGGGGTTTTGTTTGTTTTTTCTTCAGCTTGCTTTTCAGTAGATTTAAGATAATTGTATGCACTCATTACCTGCCAATTGCTACTTAGGTTTCTGTAAATGTAAAACAAAGGCCTTAATTTCTCTTGTTTGACTCTGTGGAAGCTCTATATGCAAATAGGGAAAGTGTAACTTTTCCAGTGATCATGTTATCATCCCCCCTTGTGTTACAAAAATCTAATGCAGCTTTTCTCACAGCCAACACCTCTCCTCGGCCAGTATCTGGTATGGAACGAGAAAGGAAAGTGAGTATGAGATTGCATCGTGGTGCTCCAGTCAATATCTCATCGTCTGACTTAACAGGCAGACAAGATACCTCTCGCATGTCAACTTCACAGGTAAAAAACATTTCTGTGTAATGGAATAATGAGGGTAATTTGGTAAAGTTAACTTGCCAAAAGAGCATACCAGCTAATCAATGTGTTTCCATACTGATTTTGCAGGTAGGATTTGACTCCTGTAAATACTTGATGTTTTAACTGAATGTTTGTGGCTGTAGACTACTATAAAAAGAAAAAACTTTTTTTGGGGGGTTTTGTTTATTTGGTTCTTTTAACCTTGGCAGCAATAAGGATAAAATACTCTAATACAGAGTCATTGGTGTATGAGATGATGCAAAACCTTAGAGATACAGCATTTTTACCTACAGTTAAGGTGTGTAGCTCCTTCGCTTGCTGAACTTCTTACTCTGCTTCCTCACTGGTAAGAGAGGTAAGTTGGAGACAGTTGTGAGTCATGTTTCCAAATCAACAGAGCAGAGAATATTGGTGCAGAATAGAGAAGAAGTAGTTGATCAAGAGCAGGAAAGTGCAAAAGTGAAGAAATGTAGTGCAGTACTGTAATTCAGAGCAGGTAAGAAGCCACATATGTGGATGATGAATAAGTTGCAGAAGGCTCATTTGAAGGTGCAGGAGGATGAATGCTAGTGATTCATAGCCATATGCAGCACTGAAATCATCCTCATTGGTCACAGTGACTTAGCAAAAAGATTTTAGGAATACATCTTTTTGAGTTGACATTGACAAAAAGTGTTTACATACATTTTTAACTCTTTATGCTATAGTTACATAAACATTTGATAGCTATAGAAAACATTCATTTTTGAGGGTATTCACTCAGACTTGTCCTATGTAATGTGTGGTCTGGATTTGTACAGGTTACCCTCAGTCTTACCTACAGAATGGGAAATTGCCTGTACTGCAACATTACTGGGTAGGCATTCTGTTATGAGGACTGGTGCAGTTGCCTAGAGGCTTTTCCATCACGCTTCAATACCCTGCTGGAATTCTAACTGCATAATTTTTGCTGTGGACTTATTTTATTTCTCATTGATGGAGCATATTAATGAAAATTAACTCAATTCCTTTTGGCTTTATCATGTAATTGGCAAAATTAATTATTTCGGATAGTACGTATACTTACAAAATCTTACTGCTAGAGGGAATGCTTTCTTAGAGGAAGGCCAGGTGGGTATCACTCATGAAGGCTGAGGGTGAACTGGATTGGAGAAACAATTCTGCTGTAACAAAAGTGGATTTTTTTTCAGCTGAATGAGTTGTTTCACCATGTAGCTGCACAAATGTTTGTGCTTGCTGAAGGGATTAACAATTCAGGAACAGAAGTGACTGGATGAGAATAGGAGACAGGTGAGGTTTTCTGTGTTGGCTTTGGTGGCGATTTTTGTCAGCTTAAATTGTTCACTGAACTAGAATTCTTGCCACCAAGAATTCTCATGTTGAAATATTTTATGGCTGAAATTTTGTAAATGGTGTGAAAACCAGGAGGATAGAACTGCACGTAATTATGGATCTTGTCAATATACATATATACTTGATAGAAGGGTGCAAAGAAGGTACAGCCAGACTCGGCCGTATCTGGTGAACGGACAATGGACACAAATTGAAATTCGGGCATAAGAAAAACTTCTTTACTGTGAGACTGGAACAGGTTGCCCTAAGAGGTTGTGGAGTCTCTGTCTTCTGAAATACTTGGAACCCAACTGGACATTGTCCTGAGTGGCCTGCTCTAGTTGCCTATACTTTGAGTAGTGGAATTGGGATAGATGTTCTCCAGGGGTCCCTTCTAACCTCAACTGTTCTGTGGGGCTGTGACACTGGGTTCCCCCTGAACATTTACTCAAATATAAAGATGGCTTCCTCGTCAAGTGTGTACATTCAGAGTTTGCCTCGCACTCTGAGCAAATCTCAGATGCTTTGTCTCTGTTGCCAATCAGATAATTAATGGGAGTAATGACAATAAGTATAGTTATGTTACTTGACTATGTTAGGAGAGAGTATACCTTTCATTTTTTTGTTTTATTGCTCACATGTAGCCCATTGTGCATGTGACACTTTTCTGAACATTGTAAGGTATGAGCAATCCAGGTGAGTTTGCAGATACATTTTGGTTCTGCCTAACTTGTAAAATGGGAATATTCTGAAACTGTGTAGGTTTGTGTGTAGTCTTTGAATATCCAAGATATCTATGTCCAAGATATTGAAAGACTACCCATAATCCATATCATATATGGATTACTGTGGATATCATTATGGATATCCTCATATCCAAGATATATGTCTTGATATCCAAGATACTCGAAGACTACTTTCAGACTACTTTTTTTGAGTAGTATAATTTCTGTACTACTATATGTTATACTACTATATATACTACCTTACCTTTTACAAAGTAGTGGCAGTTGTAGCCAGTACAGGCTGGCTTAATGGCACATTTCCATACCTGCCCTTTTTAACACTGCTCCAAGTATAGGATCACTCAGTTGACTTCTTTTCAATGGAAATGGCAATAGCAGCCTAGTTGGGATCTTCTCTGAGTTTGTTAGAATTAATTATTCATCATCTGTTGTCTTCATTTAGTTCTTATCAAGGTGGTGATCAGCTGCTGGTCTCCACTCATGGTGACTGAGTAACAATGTACAACTGTAGTATAATTTAAACAGCTTTGCATGGGCTTCTTGGGTTTGGAAAGCAAGAGAGATTTACTTAGACTTTACCGTTTAACACTTACCCTTGAGCTCATTGGAGATAATTCACTTTCCATTTTCCCAGTTCTTGCTTACTCTGTAGTAGGTAAGATGGCTCAAATTGCAAGTTTTCATAGTTTATGCTCATACTACCTTCATAACATTAAAGTATTTCTTCCATGATCTAAATTTATCCTTAGATATTAACCAGGTTACCAATTAAAGCTGTGGGTTTCTGATTATCTTTATTCTTAGTCAGGAAAACCTAAAGTATCCAACTCGCATGGCAAGGTTATTAAAGGGAATTTTGGTTGGTAAGGTGTGAGAATATAGAAAATCATCCATGTCACTTCTTACTAGGGGAACTGTAAAGAACAGCAACTGTCCATGCCCATTCCAGGTGTCCTAGTTTCCTTTGTAAGTCTTAAATAAATATGCTACTGCTGTTTCTTTTTATTTATTTATTTATTTTATTTGAATGCCTTGGTTTAGTAAGGAGACAGTGCATCTTGTAACGTCCACCTCGTCATATAGAGGAAGGGCTATTGCTTGTTAAACTCTGGGCGATGGAATGTGCAGAGGTTACTCAAAATAATGGAAGCTGCTTACCTCTAAGTAGAGTTCATAAAGATTACTCCACATTTTTATCTTCATTTTTAACAAAATGAGTTCTCATCAGTTTAGACTGAAACTTAAGACTAAGGCTGGGAATGTAGTTAATACAAAAAAATTCTCTTATGGAAAATAGGTCTTCTCAGAAATTTAACTCTCACAGAAAAGTGGTGATTGGTAAGGATAGCAAAGTAGGTGTCATGTATATTCCCTACCTCCAAGGCATTGTCCACACAATACCTAAACCATTCTCATTAGAAAGACCAGCACATTGTAACACTAAGTAGCAAGTGTTTATTGGAGTAACAACTAGCAAGTCTACAAAATGGTTTGTCAAACCTATGTGTTTTTAATGAAATTGCATAAATTCTATCGCATGTTACTCAGTACTTTTCTTGATGATGTGGAAGTGAATGCAGCAGCTAAAAGCCTGTAGGTTGAGAGATATTTGACAGCGAGAAACATTAGAGTTGAGCAGTCAAGTAAAGCCTGTTCAAATAAAATGTATATTAGTTCACATTACTCTAAAACCTAATTAGGATGAAGGAGTGGAGCCGACTGTCTTATACGTGAAAACTGTATCTGTGATAACTTATGTCTGGGGAGGCTTTAGGTGTAATGTTGGAGAGGTTAGTGTGATGTTATAATGACAGGGCATAATTTCATCCTTAAATCTATGTATCATACAGTAGTAAACAGAAATGGAGAAGTTATTTTGACATTAATGACAGGTGCTGGGATATTATGCTTAGTTCAGTCCTCAGTATCTTAAATTGTTGGAAAACCATAAGCAACACAAAGAAGAGCTATAAAAATTGAGCTTAAGAAAACAGATTGTGCAAGAAAAGAGTTTCAAATCAGC